TGTTACGAAGTTTTAATAAAATAAAAAAATGAAAATACTGACTTATGTTAAATAAATTATTAAACATTAAAAATAAATTATAATTTATATATAATTATTGTTTCTTTATTGTTCTGTTGCTCAAGTCTTCAGTTTCCTCAGTCGCAACTTATAAAACCAATTTTGTATTTATTTTCTCACGTTAAGGGGGGAACACCAGTTGTAACTCAAAAAATAATGCTTTTTTTTATACTTATTTTTTATACCATAAGTTTTTTTTTATACTTCGTCTGAAATAAAAAAATGAAATTGATTTACATTTATTATAAGATTATCTAGTTCGTGATCGAAGGATTTAAAAAAAAAAAAATTTGACAAAATGGCGACCTGTCAAAGTCAAAAGTATGATTTTCGTTAAAAAAATACGGTCGATTTTCAGCTATATAAAAAAAAGTTTTGCATAAAAAAAAAATCCTTCGATCACGAACTAGACTTATATGTGTAAATGAAGCACACTAAATTTTAAATAAATCGGTTTAATGGTATTCGAGTAATCGTGGTCACCGACTTGGAAAATGTCATTTTGAGAAAAACGCATTCAAAGTTTCAACTTACTTTTTTTTGTTCAGGAGAAATTTTGTTTCCAAGTTACAAAGAGTCATCGATTCCTGGACCATATAATAACTCTTCCGCAGTGGTTGCCGTTTCTAAATCATAGGAAAAGGCCATTTGTCGTTAGGGTCAGGTATGGCTGGCCACCTTGTATGAAGCCACGGGACGCGCCGCTGCAGTGTTCTGTATATCTCATTTATTTTTCACCGGATCAACTTTGAAATTTACAGACACATTTCTAAATATGTATACTTTAAGAAAATGCACAAAAAAAATCGATTTTTCGAAAGTTACAACTGGTGTTCCCCCCTTAAGTTGGCGTAATGGTTAGCGTGTTAGATTACGGAGTTTGACTTCGGTCCGTTGCGACAACGAATGTTTTGTTAATTGTAAGACGTTTTATTTTTGTTTGTACGTATAATGTATTATAATTGTTCCAAATAAACGAAAAAAAAAAATTAGATTACGGAGCGTTAGGTTAGGGGGTTCGATCCCAGCGAGCGTTAAATATTTTTCAAAATTTATGTAAGCGATTGCATTAAATAATAATAGGTAATAAACTACTAAAGTCAGACCTAATTTATAAGGTTCCATGTAAAGACTGTAATTCTGTATACGTGAGCAGAACTATTCAAAAGTTAAAAAGTCGAATTTATCAGCATGAATATTCATTGTCACTAGACGAGAAAACATCTGCTCTTGTTTATTATTCTCATGATAATGATCATGCCTTTATTTTAAATTTTAGAAAATATAAATGACTGAAAATGTCTTGTTAGTAGAACATAAATTATAAGAAATTCGAAAACTATTTCAAATAATGTAATATTGCGTATTTCACGTTAGAATGAATACCACACGATAACTTGATTACGTCGCTTAACGAAATATGTGAAATCTTCGTCTCAAAAACTTAAGAATATAACCTAAAAGTACCTCATGTCCTTGTAACCATGAGGAGAATATTAAACATGGACATTACCCAAGAAGCACGTAATATAACCTCAATATCGAGGTAATATTACATGTAAGATTCGTAATATAACGTTGTAATATTACAGTAATCTTACAGTGATCTTAAAATGTCCGCCTTAAGGTAATATTACCGGTAATGTTACTGTAATATTACGCGCTAATATTAAGGTAATATTACAAGAGAATATTACAGTAATATTATAGGAACATTTCTTTACGAAAAAAATCTACCCATCCAGGGAATCGAACCCCAAACTCAAAGCACACGAGTCCAGAGTTTTACCAACAAGCCAAATTAACTTATAATATATTTACGTTTTTTATGCTTTATGAATAACTCAAATCAGTCTGTAATATTACTGTAATAAACTGATTTAAACGTTTAGATAACCAAAAATACATTTTCAATTTTCCAATTTTTAATCGAATTCGTAATCAGCGACCCCGAAAACCCCCGAGTAACAAGTTTCAATCAAATTGCAGTTGATTTTCAAAATGTCTTCCGCCATATTGGATCCGCCATTTTGAATTTTGAAAAACTGACATCGAATTCGTAATCAGCGACCCCGAAAACCCCCGAGTAACAAGTTTCAATCAAATTGCAGTTGATTTTCAAAATGTCTTCCGCCATATTGGATCCGCCATTTTGAATTTTGAAAAACTGACATCGAATTCGTAATCAGCGTCCCCGAAAACCCCCGAGTAACAAGTTTCAAGCGATTCAAATCACTTTGAAAAATTGGTTGTGAAATCATGCAAAAATTTTGTATATTTGGTTCTTAAAGGGTTAAAGGTTTCACTCACCCCATTCAAAAAGGTTTATAACGGTAATTTCTACCGAGCAGTATCTTTTAGGAAATCAAGAAAGAAGTGTCAAACATTTTTTAAATAATGAAATAATTATTTTAATTAAACTTTCTTTAATGATCATGATATGTATATTTTGCCACTCAAAATATGACTTTTCAACCCCTGTTTTCAACCCTTAAAACATCTTCATTGCCGATATAAAAATGTACGTATCAAATATTTTTAGCTCCTCTAAAAAATGCGCAAAGACTCAAGTCAATCGGCGATTGGCACTTGGGTAGTGTTACTTGTTAGTTAACCTCAAACCGGATTCTCTGTTGCATTTTTTTAATCGCAGTTTAGGCAGAAATTTTCATCATGTCCATGATGTTTTTTTTTTTATTTAAAATAACTGACGATTTTATACTTTATCTCTCATTTAATTACCCAAGAAGCACGTAATATATCCTCAATATCAAGGTAATATTACACGTGAGATTCGTAATATAACGCTGTAATATTACAGTAATCTTAAAATGTCCGCCTCAAGGTAATATTACCGGAAATATTACTGTAATATTACAGACTGATTTGAGTTATTCATAAAGCATAAAAAACGTAAATATATTATAAGTTCATTTGGCTTGTTGGTAAAACTCTGGACTCGTGTGCTTTGAGTTTGGGGTTCGATTCCCTGGAAGGGTAGATTTTTTTCGTAAAGAAATGTTCCTATAATATTACTGTAATTACATAAAATTTTTATGAATTAAAATTAAAGGATTGAAACCAGGCAGATTTATAAGCTACCGAAGGCATTAACTGGGATTTCGGAAAGAAACGGAATTAATTAACATTTAAAGGCATTTGATTGTCTGTTTTTTTAAATGCTAATTAATACCTTTTAATACACTCCTTCTTGCCGGGTTAGAGCCTAAACATATGCTATTGTATGCATTTGACGAGTGTAAAATGGAGTTTAGAACCAAAGAGATACCCAAGTAGCACGGAATATTGCTTGAATGTCAAGGTGATATCGAGTGGGAATATTCCTGTGACATACAGGTGATATTCGCGTGACATTCATATGATACTGAGGGAATATTCCGTGCTACTTGGGTATGTAATACAATTTTGCCATAAGTTTTTAGAAAAAAATAAAAAGTTTAGAAAAAAAACTAAAAAAATAGTAATAAATTAAAATTTTTGTATGTTTACACGCAAAAAGCTTATTGAACTACGAATTGTACGAAAATCAAATTTTTTCATATATATTTATACTCATGGTATTTTTTAACACAGCAACTGTAATTTTACGTTTATGTTATATAATAACATGCAAATTGTCAAATTATACTTATATTATGTTTTAATACTAGCAGCTTGTACTTTAATTTACTACGTCGGACGTGAAGCAAATAATTTCCAACGTCCGACGTTGTAAATTTCCAACGGAATTTTTTACAGTGTAAATTAGAGAGTTAGCTAAAATGACGATTAGGTCAAACAAAAATTAGAGCAAATAAAGTTTATGGCAAATAAAAATTAGATTAAATACAATTTTAGGCCATATGATGATTGTTACAATCAAATTTAGACCAATTGAAATTTGAAGAAAATTCATGGGTGCTTCTTTCTATGTATTATGATTGTTTTATGATTGTTCAATAATTATTTTTTATATTTCATATTACTATATATGTTTTATTAATCTGTATATGTATATGATTTTTAATTGTTGTAGTTATAGTGTTATTGTGAGATAATAAACTAATTCTAAAATGTTAAAAAAAAATTTCTTTGGATCATTTTAAAAATCTTTGTTTCTATTTTGAAATTTTCATATTTTTTTTTATATTTGCCCATATCCATTACTCGAAAATTTAAACTAACAGGAGAACAATAACAATTTAATGTGCCTTATCTCATTTATATATAGTATTATTTGTATCAAATTGAATCAATTTTTTTTCATTAATATCTTTTACATGGAGCCAATTAATCAGTAATTAGTTTTTTGAAGTAATCAAAAATAAAATTTATCATTAATTTTCTTATTTAAAACAATTTATTTATTCATGCCTTCTAAATTACTAATTTTTAAGTATCGAAATTTCGATCGCCAGTAGCAATTTATTTACCGCAATTTAGAAAATTTCAAATACATTTTTATCACACCTTCCATTACAATATAAATATATATTGTATTTCTTCTGAATTTATTAAGTACCATTAAATTATATGAAATACGCACGTGTCAATTTTTTATTTATTCTAAAATATAATAAATTCACTCTTGATACAAATAATATCAAATGAGTTAAGGCACTTTAAGTTATTATTGTTTCCCTGTCAGGTTAAATTTTAGAGTAATGTACATCATTATTATATACTAATCCATTTTCTTGAAACTGTATTTATATAACTGGTTAACAATCCATTAATCAATATAATAAAAGTAATAAAATGAAAAAAATAACGTGAAAAAAATTACTAAAAATAAAACATAATCTAACAAAAGCCAATGTTTTTTTTTGAAAAAGAAATTAAATGTTAGTATTCTACTGTCCTTCTTGGCAGAATCATCACTAAATGTTGCAATTTTTAAATAAATATCATAATGATTAAATATAAATTCATATTAACAATAATCATATTTTCAATTTTTGGAGTGATTCAAATAATTGTTGCGGATTCTGTATCTTTTAAAGATATTGTTCAACATATAAGAAAAAATGAATTTGAGGCATATCAGACTATAATATTGCACGATGGAGAAAATCAAAGTATAGAGGTTCAAGCAGAAATTCTACAAGCTACATTCAGTAATAATCCAAGCCGAGTGATAAACTTCATTCATCATGATCCAAACAACCTAAAGTCAATTGCTTCTAAAAATTATCACAAAGGAACACTTTTTATAGGTATTCTAGAGAATAATCGAACAGCAATAAAGAAGTTCTTCACTTTTGTGAAAGTGGTATCAGGTCCATACACTTTTCCTCGGTGCTTTATGATAGTTCTAATGAATGAAAACAGTGTCAGTCGAGAAGTTTTACTTCGTTCAGCATGGTCGAGAAATTTTATTCAATTAACAATTCTTGATGTTGTGAAAAAGAATTTTGGTCGCAATTTAATGTTTGATCGAAACCAAAGAAATATAATAATCCATTACTTCAATAAATTCACTCAAAATTACACAATGATCAATTACGTAAAAGGAGATGTAATTTTCCCAACGAAATTAAAAGATCTGAATGGTTTTGAAATAAAAACGTGTACTGATTCCGAAACAAAGCAAGAATACGAAGAGCAAAGATTAAAAGTAAATCTCGAAGGGGATCCTAATGAAGTTTTAGTGTTTGATTATTATAATGAACCTCCTGAAGAATTTGAAGAAGAAAAGTTGAATACTTTTTCAAAAGTAATGAATTTTAAAAGAGTAAGACTTCATCCAGATGAATGTATTAGAAACAAAGATAAAATCACCACGCATTTGACGTGTGATGAAGTTTTGCATAATTATAAAGAAAACATTTGTCACATAAGTGAAAAAGATAATACAGATGAACATATATATCGTATTGAAAATGATGTTTATTTCTTAAAGTCACCTCATCAGCAGATTCTTATACCTAAAAAAAGAATTAATAACTACATGTTTACAAAATCAATTTATCAGGGTGCTTTAACATTTTTATTAGTATTTGTAATTTGGAAGTTTCTTCGATTCTTAAAGTTTAATAAACAGTTTTGGAAACTATGGTTTCTTTGGCTTGCATTACTAGGAATTTCAATTCCTTTAGAAGTGAAAAAACTCACGGATAGAATCGTTTTTATATCGATTTTTTTGGGATTTTTTATGTTTTCCTCAGAATTGCATAATCTCTTAACAACCGTCCAATTAGTTATAGACTATGAAGACGTATTTCTTGATTCAGAGTTTATCACAAATTGGTCCATGAGAGGAACGACAATAGGAACAGAGAATCATGCTTCTGACGTAATCACCTTACAACATGAATATAAAAATTTACCATTTAAAAAATCAGATGGACTCCATCACAATGTGGAAGAATGTTTGAAAGAACTTTTCGCGTATAAAGCAGTTGCTTGCAAAGTGCATATCAAAGATATAAGAAATGTACTCTTAATGGATTCAAAAATAAATAAGATTTCAACTATCAAGATTTTTCTTACCGAAGAAATTGAGAACTTATATTTTGCAGTTGAAAATAATTCTCCGTATACTTCTGAATTTGAGCGTCATATGAATAGATTTATAGAGACTGGTTTGTTTGTCAAGTGGGATAAAGAAAACTTTAAAACAAATCTAAATTACAGTATGATAGAAGATATTATTCTCTCGAATAGGAGAAACGACGAAATTAATATTTCACCATTCCATATTCTTCTGATTGGTTTAGGAATATCAATTATTGCATTTTTTGGAGAAATATTTAATGCAAGGTACAGTTGAAACAAAAGTTAATGTTTTTCTTTTATTTTAAAATTAAGTTTAATATTACATTTTTTCTTCGTTTAAATAGAGAAATATATTTTTACAGTGCTAATTACGAAAATTAATTTGATTTCACAGATATTTAACTTAAATAGGTTTATCAATGTTTCATTTTATGTAAATACCTTCAGTTTTCTTTTTATGAAATTCATTTTTAAGATCAAAATAAGCCATCGAAAGGATATATCTTGAAAATTTTTAATTTTTCCAGCGTTCAGAAAGTGTGGAAATCTGTTCAACGTCTTCTGCTTAAAGTCGGTCTTCATAGATGATGCGCAATCAACTCATAACGTGCATTTATTGTTTTGCCGTTTTCGTGAAGATATACATGTTATTACTTTAAGGAGAAAAACCACATTAGGAGGTTGAATGAAATCGATTTTTTTATTGCATAAATCGTTGGGTTAACTATCAAAGAATATACACTCTCGAAGTACGAAGTACAGTCGCGTGGTTTTACAAATATAAATAATATGCTAAACAAATAAACAAGAGGATTGCAAATATAAAAAGTGCATGAATTTTTTTTCTGTTATGTGCTTGGGCAAATTTTGGGTCAACTCATATTGGCCCCAACTGGAATTTCCCAAAGTGAAGTTTATTTGAATTTGCTGTTACATATCACTAAAAATTGATAAACATCAATCTTTTTTAAACAATTAGTATTGCAAATAAATTCAGTTACAGTAGAAACTTATATTTCATGAAATAAATAAATAAATAACAAAAAATTGGTTAAAAGTTTAATAATTTATAACTACAATTTTTAAAATAATTTATTCAACTAAATTATTATTTATTTATATAAATTTTATTATTAATGTACATTAAAAGTATAGCATTAATTAATTGCAATTTTTTTTAATCTACCCCGTCATCTAATTACTGCATGATATTTACTTTCAAATTTTTATATGCGTTAGTTAGCGTAGTTTGTTAAAGTGTTATGGCACACTCACACCTTTTTGGTTGCCTGCCTGTCTGCAGGTTACAATGGCAACGCACGAGTGTGAATGAAACAGAAAATTTGAATATTCAGATTTTTAAATTTGATATCGCACTCACTCTTATGCGTTGCCATGGTAACCTACAGGCAGCCAAAAAGGTGTGAGAGCGCCTTTAGGTAATAAGTTCGTAGGTCCAGTCGTAGGTTCGAATTCAGTCGGATGTTACAGAATTTATTTCGTAAGTTTGCGTTAATTCTAAGGTACATCTATTAAATATTACAAAATCGAAAAATATGCGATTCATGTACCTTAAAAACCTATTTTTTATTAATATTATATCCATTTATCTAACACTCAGAATATTTGGGCATAAATGGGGTCACTTTGGGAATTTTCTGGGATTTTTATGAACATTAAAAAATCTGATAATCTACATTTATTGTGCCATAATAATAAATATTTATTTTAGTTGAAAATTATATATGCATTATTTTAACAATTAGAATATTTAGCTATAAATGGGCTAAATTTGGGATATCCCAACCTTGGTAATTGATTGGGATCATCGTTACAAGCTAAGTTTATGTTGTTTTCGAAGTAAATCTTTAGCTCGCTGTTCTATTTATTAGAAATAAGCACCCCGATGACATTCATGTACAAAATCACCGAGAAAAGTTGGCAAATTGTTAACTATTGAGGTGAGGGTTCTAAACGATCCGCGCGATGGTGCTGTTTGTATTTCGACCCTGTTGAGCTAATTCTTCTAATAGTTTACATGAATATTTAAATTAAACCAACACGATATGTTATTGGGGATAGAGTTGACAACGTTTTGTATGAAGGAAGAATTATTCAACAGAGAGCAAGTATAACAGCAGAATTTATTCCTATAAGGCACGTGCTAATGGAATTTTTATCCATGCAAGGAGTTATGGATAAAATCATCGAGTATTTAAACTTTTTAAAACAAGAAAAATTGAGTGGAATCATCTCTAATTTTGTTCAGGGTGCACTGTGGGAGCGAAAAGTAAAAGAATTTGGAGACAAATTTGTGCTTCCAGTGTTTGTATATTATGATGACTTCGAAATTAACAACGCCCTTGAATCACACGTAGGGGTCAACAAAATTGGCGGTGTTTATTGTTCAATTCCATGTATACCTCCTGAATATCGCTCAAGGGTTCAAAATATTTTTACGCTGTCATTATTTAATTTCATTGACAGAAAAACTTGCCCAGAAGGCAATGATGCAATTTTTCAAATTGCTGTTGACAATTGCTGTTTAAGTCTCCTATTGGGTGACAACGAGGCTCTAAATAGTTCTACTGGTTTTTGGAAAGGTCCAAATGCAACGTTTTACTGCCGATTGTGCAAAATGACTAAGAACGAAAACCAGAAAAACTATTGCGTTGAAGAAAAGCAGTACAGAACTCCCGAACAATATTTATCGGAAAGTTTTCAAGACCCTAAAAACACAGGAGTAAAAGAAAATTCCATATGGAACCTTGTCGACTTTTTCCACGTAGTATTGAATTTTTTCCTAGATATTGCACACGATTTACTCGAAGGTGTGTGCAAGTATGCTATGAGACAATTACTTTACTACTTAATTTTTGAGATGAAATGGCTAAAACTCGATTTACTGAATGAAAAATTGAAATCTTTCAATTACGAAAAAAACGTATTTCGTAATAGAGGACATACGACGAAGTAAAAACTAAGAAATTGCATATGTCGGCAAGCGAGATGCACACATTTGTTTTAATTTTTCCTCTTCTTGTGAATGACATCATTAAGGGTGGAATTGATATGAAGCAAGAAGTGTGGCAATATTGTTCCGTGCTGAGACAAATTTTAGATATTTGCTTTGCATAATCTTTAAGACTAGAGCTGACATCTCTGGGTTCATTTGTAATTCTGGACGTAAATGCAGACGATGTTTTGCTGTTCGGTGAAATTGTTAAAATTTTTGAAAATAACAAAAATGTACTTTTTGTATGCAAAGAAGTACACGTTGAATGTTTCCATGAAGGTTTGCATGCGTATGAGGTTTCGGTAACTGACGAAGTTGCTTGTTGTTTAATTGAGGACTTAATTTCGCAACAAATTCCAATTCATTATTTTCTTTCTGAAGGAAGAAACGTGGTATCTCTCAAACACGCTGTTTAAGGACTGTAAATAAATGTACATACGTTTGATGTTTCGATTAGGGTCTCTGATGGGAAATACGCGGTGTCTCTTAAATAAACCCTGCTTATAAGTGTGCATAAGTACACGTTTAGAAAATCGTTTTTCATTTGAAAATGTAAATACAATATAATTATTTCTTAAGATAAAAAATATTCTTTAAATAATGTCGTTTACAATTTTTATTATTTTAAAAATCTTTAACAATATTTTTACTTTACGAAATCTAGTAACAGTATTTATTTTATAAAATGAGCAGGTGTCTAGCAAAAGTAATTTGTAGTTTTCTGAGTACACTTGAACGAATTTGTATTATTTAAATAATGGATATTTAATAATATTTCCTTAAATAAAATAATTTTTAATTGAAATAAATGAACTATATTCGAATAATTAATAAATTTATTTAATTTTATTTTACTCAAATAATATTTCTAAAATATAGGGTCATTTGGGGAAAATGTAAACAAGGGGTAAATGTAAACAGCAGATATTGCAGCTTAATTTACAGATTTAAAATTAAGTTCGACCCCAATATTTTAACCTCAGCTCACCTGCAACAGGTTCTGAGTATTGCCAATTTTTTTTTCGACAATTGTCAAAGCCATACTCCAATTTGTCGCTTAATGCATGAAAGATTGAAAATCAAAGTTTTACTGTTTCAGTATTTTGTCTCGCATTTGAATAAAAATGAACTAAAAATTCAAACTAAAATTTCTAATTATTCCTTATGAATCCCTTAACAAAAGCTAACTTTGATTTTTTAATTTCGTCAATTCAGTTAATAGATAAATAGGTGTTTACATTTACCCCGAGAATTCGAAATCTCGGGCTAAATGTAAACAGAATTTCTGCTGCATTTTAAAAGAAAAAAATCCGGCAGCCCCCTACGGGGGCGGCCACATTCTTATCACGCGCTTCGCGCGTAAGGGCTCGCTTCGCTCGCTAGTTTGAGCGCGCCCCGGGGCGCGCGAAGGACATTCGTCCCGCTTCGCGGTCCGATATTGATACGCGCTTCGCGCGCATTGTTTAAGCATCGCGCTACGCGCTTTGTTTGTTTATTACAATTCAAAACCTAGTAGCATTAATTACTATTTAACTACACTGTGTAATTCAAACATTTTTCAATTACATTCAAAAATTGTATTAATTATACGACCAGAAAGTAGTTGAATGACCCAAGAATCTATTTGGTAGAATGAGATTTTGTAGTTTGTAATGATCTGACTTTTTATTGCCAAAGGATTTGCTCGCCGGATGGAGTCCAGGTACCTATTTTGACTAGTTACTTTAAATCTCGGTAGATGGCTCCATCTATGTTTCTAATAATTTCGGAACTATTTCTTACTATGATGTAGAGGAGAGGTGTAGTCATTGACGAGACTTTATTTAAACCTTCGAAAGAGAATATATTGTTTAAAATAAAAGAATAATAAAATACACAAAAATGAATTATTACATAAAATAATATAAGAACAAAAGAATCTATACAATGCAAATAAAATACTAAACTCTAGAAAACGTAACTATAAAAGGACTAGCTATTCTAGAGGAGCATTCGCTGAGCTCCGATTTAAACATATTTACCACGTTCGCGAAGATGTTGGTCAGGACGACGCATATTACTTTCGCGTGGGGTACTTTCTAAAATTTACCCCCTAGGCGACGGTACGGACGGATACTAGGGTCGTGCACGCTAGGTCGATTATTATTCGTAATCGGGAAGAAGCTAGATATTGGATTCGGTTCCAATATTCATGCCCGACGCGAAGCTAGTGCGAAGTAATATTCACTAGGTGTCTCCTCCACCTGAGAAGCGCCTCGAGGTGGGGAATCGGCCTAGTGCATCATCTTTGTCAAGAGAGGAGCGCCTCTACTCGGCAAGGATGGTCCTGGTTCATATGGGAAGGAGGGCAAAGGGAGTTACTGTTCCACAGGAACACCTGTAGGAACACGTACAACTCCTTCTAGGAAGTGAGGAAGGCTCTGGTGTTCAGAGAGACGCACCTCTACTGAGCACTAGGTAGCCAGGAGTGAATCGCTCCCAATCGTCAGAGAAGCACATCTAGGCGAGTCGAAAGAAGACTGACGAAAAAGGTGCGAGACGAAAGGTATAACACTATCAGCTAGGTGACAGCAAGTGGTGGGGGAAGAGAGTGACACTACTACTTACGCTGTCTACTTTCTCTCTTTTCGCCGCGCCACTATACTACGATACTCTATCGTTACAAGTTGTTTCAGACTTTGTAGTTGATTTAATTAATTTTGAAGTAAAATGTCAAGAAGAAAGAAATTATTATTATTAATTTTATTAAAAAGAGTAAAATTAATTATACACAGAGTTAAAATAAGTACAGAAAAAGTTATTTTAAAAGAAGAGCTTCATATAATCGACTTGTTTTGAAAAATTTATTAGAAACAACTCATAGCCTTTTTTAAAATGCGTTAAATTAAATTTTACAAATAGGTAAGTTTTAAAGGTATTAGAATAAATTTTTTATCGAGCAAAAAAAAGAGAATAACGGCACTGCAGCTGTTCAAACTTAGTTCCTTAATTTTGCGCCATGGATTGGCCAGGTCTTTGTAATTAACGAA